ATAGATAGATAGATAGATAGATAGATAGATAGATAGATAGATAGATAATAGATAGATGATAAATAGATATAGATAATAGATCGATAGAGATAGATGGATGGATGGATGGATGGATGATAAATAGAGATGGATAGATATAGATAATAGATCAACAGAGATAGATGATTGATAGATAGATATAGATAATAGATCGATAGGGATAGATGATAGATAGATACAGATACAGAGATAGATAATAGATCGATAGATATAGATAATAGAAATGAACAAAAAATTCCTGGTGACCTTTTACTGGTGCCCCATAGAGAGTATCTTAACTTACTGCACCTATGTATGGTTTGCCAATTGCACAGGGGCAGGTGGGACAGCGCTCCAGAGGGTGAACATAATTGCCCAGAGGATCATAGGTTGCCCTCTCCCCTCTTTGGAAGAGCTTTATAGCTCCCACTGCCTTAAGAAAGTTCAAAACATTCTCAAAGATCCATCTCATCCTGGCCATCCTTTTTTTGAATTATTACCATCTGGCAGACAGTACAGAATAATAAAAACAAGGACAAATAGGTTGAAAAATAACTTCTATCCCAGGGCAGTAACTCCACTGAATTCTACTGTATAATGCAGTGTTGATGTGGTGTCAGGGGTTTTCAAATCAATGTGTGGGATGTGAAGGATGTGTGTTTGTGTTTATTTTCATGGTCATGATGTGCACTGAAGATGGTGTTGATTTTTTTTACAAGGTGCAATGGCAATAAAGTAAAGTAAACTAAAACTAAACTAAACTAAGCTAATAGATAGATAGATATGATTGGAAAGACAGACAGATAGATAAATACATGAAAGAAAGCAAGAATTCTTTATTAGCCAAGTGTGATTGGATACACACAAGGTATTTTTCTCCAGAAGCTCTCAGTGTACTTATAAGCAACACGTGATAAGCATAATCATAAAATACAATCATTGTAAATCCAACAGTGATAGTCATAGCAATCAACATAAATCATAATAGGATATTAAATAAAAGCAATCAACATAAATCATGAGATACAAGTTATAGATAAGAAAGTAAGAAAATAAGTAATAGGACAGATGCCATTTTCACTATATACTTCATAATAGATGGATGATATATGGTATTGTCCTAACCATTAATGGCAGCCAGTGTAGGAAAGCAGAAAGATGACATCTTTTAATCACAGTTGCTCAGTTGTGAGAGGGATCTAGGTCTCCTAGTGGACAACCATTTTAAGTATGAGCCAGCGGTGTATGGCAGCTGCCAAAAAAGCGAACACAGTCCTAGGCTGCACCAATAGAAGGATAGTTTCAAGAATATAAAGTGTTAATATCACTTTATATGCCTCAGTAAGACCACACTTGGAAGTTTTGTTTGCTACAATATAAAAAAAAAATTTGAGACTCTGGAAAGAATGAAAAGAAGAGCAACAAATATAATTAGGGGCCTGGAGACTAAAACGTATGAAGAATAATTGCAGAAGTTGGTTGTGTCTATTTTAACAAGAGAATGTGACGTGATAACAATCTTCCAATATTTGAGGGGTTGCCGCAAAGAAGAGGGTGTCCATCTATTCTTCAGAGCACCTTAAGGCAGAACAAGAAAGGAATGGATGTAAACTAATCAAGGAGAAAAGCAACCTGGAGCAAAGGAGAACGATTAACCAGTGGAACAGCTTGCCTCCAGAAGTTGCAAGTGCTCCATCACTGGAGGTTTTGAAGAAGAGGTTGGACAACCATTTGTCCAGAATAGTATAGGATCTCCTTCTTGAGCAGGTGGCTGGATTAGAAGACCTACAAGGTCCCTTCCAACCCTATCATACTATGTTCTGTTTTATAATACATGTCACTATGCTGAACAGTGTACATTCTGAATAATCTATGATTTTATAATTGTTGCAGAACATCAATTATATCTCGCAGTGGAGCTGCCTCCTCCAACCAGATAGATAGGGCTACAGCTTACTCTACCTGGTAGCATGGCTTCTAATTGGGAACCTTGAAAGATGTAACCCAGTGTAGAAGATCACGAGCTGGTCAGGTGCAGAAATCCTTGGCTGAAGAAAGATGGTGATGGATATCTCAAAGAACTTCAAGAAAATGTCCTTAATAGAGCCACTTCCCAACCTAGCAATTGCAATTTGATTGGTTGATAGTTTCATCATGAGTATCTTGCACAGCTTATATCCAGGAATGGTAGAAGGGATAGTCAAGCGCAGAGATTTCAAATTTGGCAACTTTAAGATGGGTGGACTTCAACTCCCAGAACTCCTCAACCAATCATGCTGACTGAGGAATTCTGGGAGTTGAAGTCCACAAACTGAGGAAGTCTTAAAGCCCCCCAAGTTTGGAGACCTCTGGTCTAGCGGATGGAGATGGCAGTTATTCATCTGAGGGAAAAGCTAAAATGGTGGTTGTCCTCCACAGGTGGAATGCAAGGCAGTGATGGTCTTCTTCCACTACTGTGTGATGTCCAACTATTTCTGGCTTTTCATTGAGGGGCTGTACCTCTTTACGTTACTTGTGGAAACCTTCTTTCCAGAGAGGAGATATTTCTACTGGTACACTATCATTGGCTGGGGTAAGTGCTCCTAGGAGAAGAGGATACATGTAGCTCAGGGTCGAGCTGTTGGGTGCTCTCTGAGCTTGGTGTTCCTTGCAGATGTTTCATAAATCAACTAGGAAACACCATTGGTGCTAGAAGGAAGAAGATTTGCAGAGAGGAGGAGGAGGGTCAGGGGGAGGC